TCAAGGACCCGCGGAGAGAGTTGGGAATTTCGTTATTTTCATATTTGAGTTTTTCTCAAATTTTGAAAAGAGGATCATTTGGTTTTAATTATTTTCCCTCCGAAAAATATTTCATATTAAAATATATGAGAGGAGATAATATGACTTCTCCAAAATAAATGAAATATTACAGGAAAAATATTAAAATCAAATAAGATTTTAATTTGGATTTTATCGCAATTTTATTTGAAGTAGGAAAAAAATGTGTTTTTCAAAATTTCATTAGAGGTCTAAATAAATGTTCACGTTGTCCGCAATATTATTAGAGAGCCATTAAAATTTATTTCAGGATTTTTGGAGTCCGTTTAGTATTTCTTTTATTTGTTTTTCTGTGTCAGGATTTATTTAAAAAAAAAGGTAACTGACTTACTGGGCCGTGTCCGACCTGGACACTTGACCCAGACGGCCTTATAAGCCGAGCCCGCGACCCCGAGGCCAGCCCAAGCCGCCGAGCACTGCCCGAAACCCTAAGCCGCCGCCGCCGCGCCTTGTCGCCGTCGCCGCACCTTGCCGCCGCCGTGCCGCCCTCCTCCGCCGCCGGCGCAGCGCCGCGCCGCTGTTCCACCTTCCCGCCGCCGCCGCACGCCGCCGACCTCGCCGAGGTAGCCGCCGCCGCCCGTTTTTGCAAGAAAGCCGTTCGTTTTTTCGAAACCCTAGTTCGTTTTCTTAGATTGGTTTCTTTTCGGTTTTTCTCGGTTTAGTTAAATCACGGACGTTCATCCGTATGTTCGTTTGAACGAACGATGTTCATCAGTTAGCTGCAGACAACGAACATTCGTTCGTTAGCCTGTTCGTCAGTTTTCTTTTCCAGGGTTTTTCCGTGATTATTTTCGATCGTGATTTCTGCCCTAATGTTCGATCTAGTATATCTTTTCGCTCGTTTATCCGAATCAGGTGAAACAAGCGCCTAGATCTTCGTCTCGAAGCCCTATTTTCGTTTAACCAACTTGAGCAATATTTTGGTACTGTAAAATTTGACTTGAGTCTAGATTAGTAATTGGATCTTGTTTCTTTTGTGGTTTGAGTTTCGTTGCTCTGTTTGATTTTGCAAACCGGAGTTCTTCAGATGAACTTTCTAGTTACATATTCTTATTTGAGTTTTCCCCGTCCATATTTGCTTTATTGCTTATGTATGCTATTGTTTGTTTGTGATAGAACACCCGGAGTGCGAAGCGTGCTACTACGAGTCTCTAGGTTTTGCAGATCGTCAGCGAGGCAAGTAACACTTTGATCATATCCCTTTATCACCCAGTTTTTATGCATTAGTTTCAACCCTCACACATTGCATGAGTAGGATCTCTTAACATGTGGGTTTGGGAAGTAGATGATGAGGTAGAACCTATTACTTGTTTTATTAACAAACCCTTGGGAGTTACTTCTACGTTATGCTTATACTGCTATGCTATGCTCGTAGACGTGGTTTGGGTTTGAGTGTTTCCATGACAGATGTGAGTTGTTAATTAATGGTTCAACTTAAGGTGGCAACTTTAATACACATGTGGGTGGATTGCTTGTGGGCACCTGAAGAATCCAGTGTTGTCCTAGGATATCTCGGAGTACCCGTGTGATCATCCTACGGTCTGCCACCCAGGCTCAAATGGATCATAAGATTATTCATGCTAGAAACTTCAGTGTGCAGCCACAAGCCATTATGGGCTCTGGCATAGTTAAGTATGTTGTGTGACCTCTTTCAGTGGTGGGCTAGCAGATGTAGGGCAAAGTAGGTGTAACGGTCCACCCAGAGTAAAGAGTTAATGCTTCTGAAAGACTGTGTCTCGGTCATCCATTTCTCAAACACCCTGTAGTGCGAGAAATCCAACGGAGGAGATCAATTCTTGTGGGGAAAAGTGCGCAAACCTCTGTAGAGTGTATAAACTAATCATGGTTAGCCGTGTCCCGGTTATGGACATCTTGAGTATTTGGTACTTGAATTATTGATTTGATCTCATCACTCTAAATTAATTTTGTTGGGATGTTAATGACTATTTTAATTGGGACTGAGTTGAAGGAACCTTCTCAATGATGTTTCAACTAAAATATATTCCTTTGTTATAGGGAAAAATTGGCTTTTCGCAAAACAATATAATCATAGAGTCTCCACCAGCCATATATGCATGTAGTGATAGCATTTATCTGTTCATTAATCTCTTGTGTTACTTTGCCAGCATATTTCATGTGCTGACCCGTTTCGGGCTGCAACGTATCATGTTACAGACTTTTCAAACGACGAGTAAGATGTCGTAGGTCGTTTGTCTTGCACTCGGCTATGCCGTTGGACTTGATGGACTCACTTTATCTTCCAAGCCTTCCGCTGTTATCTTAATTGGATGGCCTTAAGTCATATTTATTATAATAAGTTCTCTTTTGAGACATTCGATATAATAAGTGTGTGATTGCTACTCTATTATAAATTCTTCGAGTATTGTGTGTGTCGGCATTACCGATCCAGGGATGACACTGAAGCACGAGACTTGACCGTCTGAGGTCGGGTCGCTACACGAGCCCTTTACTTGTGCACTTTACTTTGTGATAGCCATATTGTTCTTTGCCATATATCTTGCTATCACGTAGTTGCTTATCTTACTTAGCATATGTTTTTGGTGCACATAGGTGAGCCAAGTTGTTTTAGGTTTTATGCTTGACAAATTAATCCCTAGGTTTATTTCGCATTTGTTCAAGCCTAAACCGTAATTATTTTAAAGCGCCTATTCACCCCCCCCCCCCAGGCGACATCCACGATCTTTCACAAGTAATGGTAACTCCTCCGTCCAAATCAAATCTCTCGCGGCGAAGAATAACTCCCTCTCTTGCCGGCAAATATTTAATCGGAGCACAAAAGGATATCTCTCAACTCTCATAGGTTTCAGTTTAGGATCAGAGAAACATATGTTTCAAACACTATACCCCTTTTAATAATATGGTGGTCCTATGATTCAAGAAATATAATAAGAAGAACAAAAGAAAATGCTACGTCTTTTCTCCATCTTCAAACTTCTCGGCTGCAGTTAACTCCTTCGGACATGCACCAAACCAAATGCTTTGCGTCTACAATTTTAGGGGGTCACTTTCGACTAGCATATCTTTGGTGATAATCCTCAGTGCCCCGCAGGAGATTATTTTCGGAGTTTGTACCAAAATCCACATGACTTCAGAGACTTTATCACACCGTGTGCAAAACTTTAGTCCCACATTGTTTACAAAAACAATCTCCAAAACGAGGCAAATTATTGCACCAACACTGGCCCAATTCAGCAGATTTTCTTTTCGCGCGCTCTAGCTTCTATCTGCTGTAAGCAAGCTCCCGCTCACGGTTGCTAATTTATTTTTGGAGAGCTAGCCTCCGCCTGACACTGTCTGGTAGGCCGGTTTCTAAATTTGTTTCTCAGTTGATTTTCAAGGTTTTTGGTTTCTTTTCTATTTTATTTTTGTTTTTCCTCTAGTAGGTCGGTTTTTCATTTATTTCGCACTTCTGTTTCTAGCTTTCTCATCGGTATTTTTTGTTTTATTTTTGTTTTTCCTCTAGTAGGCCGGTTTTTCATGTATTTCTCACTTTTATTTCTACGTCTCTAGTCGGTATTTTTTTGTTTTATTTTTGTTTATATTTCATTTTATATTTTCAGTTCGCGAACATTTTTGTATTCTGGATTTTTTTTAATTTCTCAACAATATATGAATTTATTTACAATTCTTTGAATATGTTAGCAAGTTTTGAATATGCTAATGTTTTTTGAATTTAACAAGAACAATTTTGAATTCAAGAGTAGTTTTTTAATCTATAAACATTTTTTGAATGCATGAACATTTTTGGATTTTCAAACATTTTTGTAACTCATGAACTTTTTCTAATTCATGACCATTTTTTTAATAGATGAACTTTTTAAGAATTCAAAAAACATTTTTCAGAATTCACAAACTTTTTTGAATTCACCAGAAACACCTTTTGAATTTGTTAACTATTTTTTAATATATGAACATTTATCCGATTTGCAAATAGTTTTTAAGATACATGGACATTTATTCAAATACATTCACATTTTGTGAATTCACAAACATTTTTTTAATTCAGTATGAATTTTTTTTACGGCCCTCATGTAATCAATAATACTATTTATTTGGTTATTTAAATACTAAAAAGACGGACCGATGGATAACCCATTGACATGCAATTATACACAGCTCGTGACTAATCGGGTGGTCCATAGATTTCTATCCATGGAAAAATACCGTTGCTACAAATAGTTGAAAAATTATACTGCCTCTGTCTAGGTGAATAAGTCACCTTACGAAAATCAGATAATTCCAAAACGTTTAGGCGCCGTTCATTAACTTTCCATCTCGATGCCCGCCCTGCCTCGTTTGCCAGCGAGCGCTTCCACCTCTGCCTCATTTTCTCTCGTAGAAACCCCTTTCCTCCCATTTTTTTGCTCGGGTAAGGACCAATGCATGCAGCACGTCCATGCTATGGATTATGAGGGCCTGCATGGGTACTCCATTTAATCATAGACGTTACTTAGGCCCTGTTTGGTTACAAGGACTAGACTAGAAAAAATTCCTTTTAATCCCTATGTAATCAAACAGAAGGGACTTTTCTTTAGGGACTAGAAGACTCTACTGAAAGGTATTTTTTCTAGAGTCCCTGAGACTAAAAAAAGTCTAGTCCCTTGTAATCAAACACCTCATTAATTTTGTTTGTAGCTGGATAGTTGTCAACTAGAGCAGCGGTAAATATGATACTGCCAAATTCCAGCCCCTATATGTTTACAAAATTTTAACTAAGCGACCAAACCACCCACACACACACACACACAAGAGGCACGTGTCTGGTATGGTAACATGCAGAAGGAAAAATATATGGATTTGCTCATGCGTAATACGTTTGGTCACGAGGTACAGTAGACATTGACATGTTCATGCAGTACAAATAGTAATATCGACCAATGGCCTAGATAGTAATGTGTGGGCTAGTCGTCCATCTTTACATAGGTGCCCAGAGCGTCGAGGAGGCCCCCGGAGCGGCCATGGAAACCAACAATCTTGCCGCCAGCTGCGGGAAGATCGAATGGCGGACCTTCCCGCGTTCCATATGGCCCAAAGGTGCGCAGGTTGCCGATTAAAGTAAGCCTTCCCAAGAGGAAGCAACCACCAAAATTGCCAAGGTTCCCTTTGACGCCGATGAGGTATTCATCCGGCTCCAGGCAGATCTGCACATGCCAACCATAAACCAAGGGAGCTTCATCGCCGCACCACCAAACCTCCAAATAGATACAAGATAAACAAAATTCCAAAAGAAATCGATATAAGAAGCAGCACAGCATCAATTTATATCAGAGAAAATTTAATGGAGCACGTACCTCTGAGCGCTGTCCTTCGGGCTTTCCCCAGTGCCTGGTCTGCTCCTCCCGGCCGTCCCGCTCGTATAGCACTGAGATGGCGTCGACCGCGCCGGAGTGCCAGAGGACGACCTTCACGATACGGTCGACGCCCCGCACGTCCATCTCCCAGACGTCTACGCCGCCGCCGCCGCAGGGGCCCATCTTCACGACACGTCCCTGCTTCTGCATGGCGCCGGCTTTGCCGGGACAGGTCCTCTCATGCTCCTCCCTCTCGTGGTAGACCATCTTGGCTGCACTGCAGCGGTATGGGCAGGCCACACGGACGGATTGCAGGATGCGCTCGACACCGTGGCAGCGGCTGTAGCTCGTGGGGATGAAGCAACGGCTGAAGCCCGTTTTGATGAAGCAGGAGACGCACCTCTTCTTGTCCGGGAGGTTGCCATGGCAGGTCGAACAGACCAGATGTCCTGCTGCGCACTGCGCGTACCATGCGGAGCAGACTCAAACAAGGGGTACATAGATCTACTGTAGCATGTTGAATCAACTTGTAGCACGTGCTAATAGAAGTTATAATGTACCTGGAACACTGGAGGTGCGAGGGAACTCAAAAGATTCTGTTAGAGTTTCATCTCTGCAGATATGGTGGTTCACTTCGACGGCGAGATGCAAACTATGGATGATGTCTTGATGCAGAGGAATTGTTGTGCAGTGGCGGCGGTCATATCGCTTGTAGCTGCTGGGATCGTGGAAAAGTGGCGGCGACAACACATGAATGACCTTGATGGTGGTGCTACTTGAGCACCTGGTCTTGAGCTCTGGGGTGAAAGCCTTGGTCTGCCCCGAGTTGGGTATACCTGACAATGGCGATGTTTTGACGTTGTTACCTTGTTGAAGGCATTGTTCGGAATGTTCGGACTGATTCTTCAGAGTGAAAACTTAGATTCCAACCTTCGGTGGCTGGATCCGGTGACGGTGACACTTGAATGTCACTCCCTTCCTTAAGGCGTTGCTGTTGAAGAACCTTGTCATCCGCGTGGCGTCATGAGATTGTCGGTGCAGATATGGTCATTGTTATAGTTTGCCGATCGTGATGTGATCGCTTTGGGGCTTTTTTCTTTTTTCCTCGCCCACGCATAGCTTTGGTCTTGTATGACTTTGCTATTTGTCGCGTGTTTTTGTGTGTGTGCGTTGATGTTGGTTGTGTGCATCCTAGCTATGCAGAGACCGGGTGTGTGCTCATTGTGTTTGTATCTTCTTGATGCTCCATTTTGAGTCAATAAAATCCACCCTTTATCGAAAAAAAAATGTGGGGCAGCCGAGAGCATCCGGGTCCACCTCGACGGCTATCGCCGTGGGGGCGGCCGACGTGCTCCCGCCGTGATCGTGTTGCAGCTCCGTTTTGGTGATGGTGTTGGTGTTTGTGGGGATCATCTCCATCCGGCGCCTCCGCTTGATCGATGGTGGTCTTGTATGTAGTATTGTGCTCTACTGTGCGTGCGAGGTATTAATGGAGAACTGGGGACGAACCGGGGAGGCAGACAGTGTGGAATCTGGAGAGGCTGAGGCTCTAGCTCTTGGTGTTTCGCCTTCCACACAACGTACGGAGTACATGCATGCATGCGACACTTTTGAGTAACTAGTGGTTGGGGCGCACCTTGGTGCGCCACCTGAGCGGAAGCTCTGCGGCGCCAGATAGGTGGTGCCCTTTCCACTTTCTCGTCTATACTAAGTGATGTTATTCTGTCAGACTAAAGGTACAGTAATGTGAAGTATTGGTATATGCAAGTTCATAACTAGAAATAATGCAGGAGCAAAGAGGGATCATAAATACATCAGTTGCATGCGAATAAAATATAGATATCTTATATGAATTGCAAATACGATGAATAGTTCACAATAGGATCCATTACAGATACGGTAAGATGGTTCAAAACTCAGGCAACGGCGTCCAAAAGTAGAGCCACAGTTGAAGCATATGTAACAGGACTAAGAGAGACCGGTAGAAACCTACATGGAATGCCTTGCCTGGTATCTGAAGTAGAAGGCAAATGTCACCTTCTTTGACGTTGGTGTCACGACGAAACTCTGTCCAATTTGTTGTGATGGTGGCCTTCTTGGCAGTTCTTTCAATGAGGCAGGAAATAACGGAGACATCACCATCCGCAAGTTTCATTGGTTATGCGACATCATGTGGATGGATGTAGTCCTTGGGATATCTCTCCGTAACCCGAAAGCACTGCATCATACAGAAAGTGTATGAGAAGTAAAGGGTATTAGATCTCTGGACACACCTGGGAAGAGTAATAAATATGCAATTGTTTTTTCCAACTGTATAATTGACAACTAAGCAGACCAAAATACTACTATGGATTATGGAATCTCAAGTACTGAAATTATTGCCATGAACTGCAGACAAGAATGCCAAACATTGCACAACACATTATCTAATTAAATACTATGGCTGGTCAGTGTGTCATGTGTTAAGTTGAATTAGCATGGCATATTAACAAGTTCCGTACCTGTACTGATGGAGTCCTAGCAGCAACTCTTGTGCATTCAGGTAACGCTATATAAATTTCTTGGATCACTTTCCCACCTACATAGGAAGGCTTCAGGTGTCAAATGTTTGTCAGGTTAAGAGACGTGAAAACACAAGTAACAAAAGGAAAATGGACTAAACAAAACTTTACACATTCAAGTGAAGATAATCAGAAATTACCAGCTCAGACTCCAATACCAGAACCTTGTTTGCTCTTTTAAAGTTCACGGCTGAGTTGTCCTGATATATGTTGAAATTAAAATTTAGTACATCACTTTTTTATGAACTAAAGTGAAATCCATGCATGAAACCATACGGATACTGACGAGAAGGATCCGATCGGGTCAGGTCAACAGAAGTAACGACGGCTTACATATCGAGTAGGAGGTCCTCGTCCTCTTCGCCGTTGGTGATGGCAACCTCCTCGAGCCTCACGATGTCCTCTTTCTCACTGCCGGTCGGCGACGCGTGAGGAAGAACATGGCGACGCCCATTGGAAGTGGCCGTTGACTTTGACTGGGGGCGGGGGGGGGTGAAGCCGTCATCCTCACTGGCCACTTAGCCAGATCCAGCCGCCGCCATCTCTATCTGCGCTGAGAGGAAGATGAGGATGAGGCGTGCCACCCCTGCTTGGGCCGGTGTGAGGTCGGCGGTGCGAGGTTGGGGCAGCAGCTGCTCCTTGCTCGAGTCGGAGGCGGGGGGATCTAGGATCGTCGCCCTGTAATTATTCCCGAACTTCTTGTTGATGTACCCGCACACGATCCACCCAATCTATAAATTTTGAGACTGAGATAGCTAATCTGAAATTATGAAAACGCTATACCCTAAGACCTGATCATGTGTCTTTCAGAAAAATGACAATATAAGCCAATATGTTAGGATGGTCTTAAGTTGCACCACGAACAAAAACAGACCAAGGTATAAAAGGGAGTTCATAGAAAAAAGGTCCATATCCATAGTGGAACAAATTGGAAGAAGTTTATATAAAAATTTAATCGACAATCATGTACACCGGACACCCTATCGCCATATCAACAAGTTTAAATCAGTATAAATTGGTAAAAAGCTTGATCTTACCCATCATTATATACATGCTCTCATGTACCACACAGCAAGTTTACTCCCTACAGTGGCATGCAATAAAATGCTACAATATCACTCCAAGTAGGCAATGAAAAAGGAAAAGCAACACACTCGAAATTAGATATTGCAAAGAAGGAAAGAGAGAATCTGTGTCTTGGATATCCAAATTAACATGCTACAATATCACGCACAAAATGGAAAGCAACAGAGTAGCTCTGCGCATTCTAACTGTGTTAGTCATGAAAACAAAGTAATATCACCAGTGAAGTGTATCAGTAATTTTTATCATTTCTTCTAATCAATAGGACATTAGGACCGACAGATTTGAATTTGTAATATGTAAAGGAAAGTGAAAAATCTAGAGAGCTAGTCATCTTGTCAATTCATCAACACGCTGGTTAGGGTGAGTGATTCCTAAACTTAATAAAGCAATAATCACCTAATCAGCTGGCCTAGTGGGGGATACAGTTGTACCAGCAACCAAACCAGAACCTGAAAGGATATCTTAAGTGTGCCACTAATTCCATGGAGGAGGAGGGTTTTAGCTGCCATTGAAGATCCACTTGCACATATTGACAGAACATGAATTACTCCCTTCAAGGATATATGAGCCAGAGTTAGCAAATTTCGATAAATAATACAGTAGCAATAAAAAGTGAAATAGAAGCATGTTGTACAATGTACCCAGTGATGCTTGTCCCGCCTAGTTGCTAACAGCTACTCCCTCGGTCCCAAATAAGTGTCTTAAGCTTAGTACAACTTTGTACTAAAGTTAGTACAAAGTTGAGACACTTATGTTGGGCGGAGGGAGTATTAAGCTAAGAGCTTGTGCAACCTATCCATGGTTGCACAATTGATCCAGTTTCTCTGGAGATGAAGCAAACAATTCTGCTATACGAGTCAGGAAAACGGGAGCATGTTCCAGCACCTGAAATAAATCGATGCAGAGCATCAACATCTAAGAATAGATGGTATCATGGTATAATCAGGGTATCCAAATACAAACAACAAGCATATTTTTGCATCATGGTAGTTCAGAAGATTTCTTAGCAGAGGAACCACTTCCATTACAAAATATGAGGCGTCTGAAGGAAGCTTCCTACACATATTAGCAGTTGTAGATAACACCACTCTGTATACATTCCACCCAAAAAAAACATAGAAATATAGTACACTATGTGTACAAACAAATAATACAAAGTTGCCATCATATGCAGCACTGACTTATCAACCCTTAGTTCTTCAGAGTGGTGACGTACCTCAGAGGCATCTGAATCACCTCTAGAGAGATGTTTGTTGCCTGCTGCTTCAGCTTTTCGATCTTTATGTTCGTCTCTTGCTCAAGGCGTTTGACGTTTGCGCCAGAGTCACTGCTGGTCTGGAAGTGGAAATGCCAAGAATATAAATGATCAAAAGCCCTGTTATTATCTTATAAACAAACAGATTGAATACGCAGATGCACGATACATACCTCAGTGAGCTTCCTCGGAAATCGGCCTCCGTTTGGCATGATGCTCGGCTATCTCTCTCTGTCTCTTCTTTTGCTTGCCCAAGCCTTGCTGTTTCAGCTGATCCTGCAAGAAATTAGCATGCTATTGGTCACCATATTGGGATTATTAGACTGACTTGTTCACACAAACTATATGTAAATAAAAGCAACTCA